TTCCGTACAAGTGCAGTGATTCTCAACCTGAGGTTGAGAATCACTGCACTTGTACGGAACACGGGTTGAGAATCACTGCACTTGTATGGAACACAGGTTGAGAATCACTGCACTGGTAGGAACAGGTAGGAACACGAATCACTGCACTCGTAGGAACACAAGTTGAGAATCACTGCACTTGTACGGAATACAGGATGAGAATCACTGCACTTGTACGGAACACAGGTTGAGAATCACTGCACTTGTACGGAACACAGGTTGAGAATCACTGCACTGTGATTCTCAACCTGTGTTCCTACCAGTGCAGTGATTCTCAAACTGTGTTCCTACCAGTGCAGTGATTCTCAACCTGTGTTCCGTACAAGTGCAGTGATTCTCATCCTGTATTCCGTACAAGTGCAGTCATTCTCAAACTGCTGCATGTTTCTCTTCTCAAACAGAGAAATCAGTTAAATAACAATTACTTCCGTCAATTTATGCAACGCAACATTATTTGTTTCATGTACACTGAGATCTCGTAATAATCCTCCCATAATCAAAATCCATAAAAGCAAAAGAAGGAAAGCACTCCATCTCAAATACCCTATTATATATCGAGATGCATTAACACTAGTTTTAACATACTTTGGTTTTATTGCAATTACTGCCATCAAAGGGTCACATTTGTGTCTCTCAACAATGAATACTACTAGGCTGCTATAGCTATAGCATACCATATTTAGTAATGTCAACGGAAAATAATTGTGTGCACGTATTTCAGAACTGATAACCTTCTTCTTCCGTAGCTTTTTCCCGTATCTATACGGGGTCGCTATTTTCGGTTTTGGGAGGGTTTTTACGGTCGGATGCCCTTCCTGACGCCAACCATCCCCTAATTTAACAGTGTAAGACCAGAGGTAAGGCTGCTAGTCATCACCATCCACCGCCAACTCTTGGGCTACTCTTTTACCAACGAATAGTGGGATTGACCGTCACATTATAACGCCCTCACGGCTAAAAGGGCGAACATGTTTGGTGGGATGGGGGCGCGAACCCGCGACCTGCAGATTGCGAGTTGAGCGTCTTACCCACCTGGCCATGTATCCGCTACGCTTCACGCATAAGGACATCTTCATTCGGTTGCTAGCTAGTACGAGACATTTCGTTGGTTGTTGGTAGACTAATTGTGATAGGCAAATAACCCGTAAAACATATGAAGTATGATAGAAAATGGCCGCTGTGGGGATTTTCCATTATCATACTCTAGTCCGAGAATGCGCAGCGCGTCCTCTGAGCATAATAATAATATTACTATATATTTTAACGTATATGAAAGCCTGAAGTATAAAGAGTTAATTTCACCATAACGTACTACACCGTGATATCACATTTCGTCATAAATTCTTAATTTAGTCTGTTAATTTTTGGGATATTCGGACAAAGCTAATCATGAACTATCTGCGCTAGCTTTGAACTGATTGCCGAGAGGGAAGGCAGCTAGTGAAGAGCACCCTCCGCCGTTTCTTGTGCTGTAATGCAGCACGAATCTTGAATCCGTAGATACCCGCGGTGGGAAGAGCATTACCAGTTTAATCTTAACAACAGGACCGGCATGGCCAGGTGGTTAGGGGGCGCTCGACTCGCAATCTGCGGGTTGCGCGTTCGAATCCCTGTCACAACTAACATGCTCGTGGGGGCGTTATACGGTGACGGTCAATACCACTATTCGTTGATAAATGAGTAGCCCAAGAGTTGGCGGTGGGTGGTGATGACTGGCTGCCTTCCCTCTAGTCTTACACTGCTAAATTAGAGACGGCTAGCACATATAGCCCTCGTGTAGCTTTGTGCGAAATTCATAACAAACAAATTTAACAACAAGCAACGGCAATCTCTTTACACGTATTATAACAGACGGAAATAACATTGTGGCACATTGTTTGACAACAATGAACTTTATTGCTCATATGTAGATTATCCACAACTTCTTGTCATTCGGATTATGTGAATATACTGTGCAAGTCTATAATAAAACGCCTATCGCGGCTGACTAGATCATCCGGCAATTTAGAAGAACGATCGGATCTATTGTAAAAATAATGCAAAAGGCAACTTTTTTTTATTCATTTTGTTTCAGCAAAGTCACATTGGGCTAACTGCTGTGTCCACCGAATCGAACCCCAGATTTTAGCATTGTAAGTCCGTAAACTTACTGCTGACCCATTGTGATACAACCAATTGATAAAAACGTCTCTGTACCATAATATTTTTTTCTTAGGAGATTTAAAAGTTATTAATTCGAAACTTCAATACCATTGGTATTTTCAAACTGAACGGTACTTTATGCAACACTGAATGCTCAATTCAGAGACCCTAAGCCTAGGTTTAGGCACAGTCGTCTCTGATTTAGAACTGCTTACTAGCGGGAGGACTATCAGAACCAGTCAGCAAAATCTGCCGATACAACTAATCTGAACGAATTAGAAAGATTAACGTTATAATGCTCTCACAGATGAAAGTGGGACCTTGTTCAGCACCATAACGCGACTCTAACCTTAAATATTCTGATGTGCAGCCCTGCTTATAATTGTTCAGCACCATAACGCGACTCTAACCTTAAATATTCTGATGTGCAGCCCTACTTATAACTTGTTCAGCACCATAACGCGACTCTAACCTTAAATATTCTGATGTGCT